CTGTCTGTGGTTTTCCTCCATGACACTATCAGAGTGTCTCTCCAAAATGTCACTCCTCTACTTAAAACCCTTCAGTGGCTCTCCAGTGCCTTCAGGATGAGGTCCCTACTCCTTAGCTTAGCCAATAAGATTTTTAGAATTTCACCCCTGTGGGCTCCTCTACTGTCATTCAGGTAAGGAGCATGCTTCGAATGGCTAGGCATGAATTGCCACTTTTCACCACTTCTCTAGTTACTGTTAAATTATCCTTCTTGACTCAGCCTCGCTGTCATTTCTACCAAAAAGTATGTCCTGATCCCTCCAAGTTCTAGGTTGGGCGTTATTCTTACAGCCCCATCATTTCACTTACTACCTACACTAGCATCTCTTTCAAACAGAATCTGAGTCTTATTTACTGTCAAGTCCCTGGTTACTAACATCTAGATTCTAGATATTATCATCTACATTCTAATAATATAAATAAAGGAGGTCAGAAATTTAAGAATGGCTTATAGCATTTCCTATATTTACTGACCATATTTTGTCCTGTTCATTTTGTTCTACCATAAACCAACTTGTGTCCTGAACCCATTGTAGTGTTTTCTTTCTTGCCATTCACTCCTTTGCATCTAAAGCACAGGACAGCAGAAGTGGAGAGTGAACTGGAATCTTCACTGAACTCCAAGAATCAAAACATGGGTTACTAAGGAAAATCACGTAATAACCTTTTCAGAAGGGCTTTTATTAAAAAAAAAATTAAGTGCAGTTTATCCCCTGCAGAAAGATTTTTAGGCATGATACTACCTGAAGATAATGAAATAGTTTGGATCAGTGATTGCTATAAACAAATCTGAGTGCAGATTTAAAATGAGGGGGAAGAGTCTAGGGTAATTTCTTCTGTGACCATATCTCTGCTTCTTTGGATTTTACAGAGATGGAAAAGAGGAGGAAGAGTTAGGTAAGATGCTATGCTATATTTTAAAAGGAGAGTATAAAAAGTATATATGCAGAGGACTAGAGTAGAAATGGTAAGTACTAAAGAAGAACAAGAAATGGAAATGGGAAGAATGGACAGAGTACTGGGATGAGAGGAGGAAAAGCAGAGAAGAGGATAGGCAGCAGCACAGATAAATCAGAGGAGAAAAAAAAAGTGAAAAATAACAGGCAAGAAGAAGGAAAGGGGGAAAATGGAATACAGTAATTTACCTGGGTCCTTATTTTGACAGTTGAATAAACAAATGAAGGTGAGAAATAAAGATGAGAAAATAAAGGTGAGAAGGAATAAAGGAATAGCCAAAAAAGGTGAAAATATTTACAATCTAATTCTAGTCTACCACGTTATGTATTTATAATACTGTATTCATTATACTCAAAAAGTGCTGAGTCCTCCCCTAATCCTGTCAATGGAGAGCAAAACCATATTATAGCAATATTTGAATTGCTTGAATCCAACAGGAGGAGGTTGCAGTGAGTTGAGATTGTACCACTGCACTCCAGCCTGGGTGACAGAGCAAGAATCTGTCTCAAGAAAAATAAAGAATAATCTGAGTGCTAATATCATTCATTCATTCATCCATTCATTCAGCCAATGTTTACTAAGTACTCTCAGTGAGCCAGACACTATATTAGGTGTTAAGAATTTGACTGTAGGACACATAACCTATGCCCCTAAGGAGACTGCAAAAAAAAGCTTTCAATATATTTTGCAAATTGGAAAAAAATCTTCTACTTTATATTGCACAGCCTACATAATCTGTGAAAAAAATCAAAATCAAAAGTAATAGTATGTCTTGGCCAAAAGCCACAGGAAACAGGGGCATTTTTCTCAATAGAATTAGATGACATTATGACATGTGCCCATTTAGAATGGAACTGCAAATCATAAAAATGCCAAAAATGTGGAGAAGAAAAACATTAAAGGAGCTAACAGCAGAATATTAAAGACAGACATAATTAAAGAGAGAAAGGCATAATAAATACAGGGTACTTTAAATTCTCTTTGTCATAGGGCTGTACTGCAGTTTGACTCCCAATCCCATTAAAGTCATTCTAAATTGATTCCCTGGGTATAATGAGCCCCTCTTGATAACACCAAAACACTTGGCCTCTCAAGAGCTCCTTAAAGGCGACCCTGCAGAACATGCCACAAGCAGGATATTCCTGCAAGGAACTAGCAGCCACCTCATTTAGCAGCCTGGCATGCAGTGAAACAGACCAATGTCTGGCTTTTACTCCCTGGATGTACAGCAAAAGAATGAACAGCTTCCCTCTGCCCATGAGGGGAGACCTTTAAGGTACATATTGAAACAGCATGGTTCTACCTTTGATATTTCCTGGCTATTAATGTCTTAGACTTCGAGTTGTTATATTATAGGTTTTCTGTAATGAAGACTCTTAATTATTTTACATTTGGGCTACAAATTTTAGCTTCCTACTTAATTTGAATAAAGAGAGAATTTAAGAAATTTCCCAATGAGGTCATCTTTCCTAAATATTTTTGATAATTCTATATGGAAAAGGGCTTAAAATAGGATCAGAGTATTCCAAATACGTTTTATAATCAACACTGTTCTCTTCCACCATACAATACTAGCAAATATAAGGAACAGACAAGTCAGTGGGACATCCAAGGAACCCAAATTATTACATTACCATTTTCCTGGACCCCATTAACCTTGAGAGAACTGTAAAGGTCATTAGTTTGCATGGCTAAATCGCTTTCAGCAATTTCTCTAAAAACGTAGCACCAGTAACTCTTTCACCCATGCTCAGGGACTTTTTTTCCTTCCTTTTTTAATCATGAAAGACATTTGCATGAAAGCAGGATCTTTGTTTCCTAAGGATTGATCCACTTGCTACTTACTATTCCTTCTTCTGCACCTTGGTGACATCATAGCTCTGGCTAAGGAGCTAATTTTAAAATCACAAAGGATTGTGATTTCAAGTGGAAGCAGCTAACCTCTTGTGAAACAAAAACCCTGTTTTCAAGCCATTGTTTCTGACAATAAAATGCTAGAAACATTAAACAACTAAAATGTAAAATAGATGTTTTATCTGAAAATAGATATTAACATTGTCTGATTCTCTACTTCTTAAAGCTGCAGGAAAAAGTTAGACAAAAGAAACTAAAAATGAAATTTTGAATGTTAACAACATGCTTTCTGTACGCTTTTGCCAGTGTTGTTTGCCTGCAAACATTGGACAATCATATTATCATTGTATTATACTATCCTCATTTCAAAGAGTGATAGCAATCTGAAAATAGGCTTTGAAGATAGCATATTTTATCTAGACATTACTCCTTTTTCGTAAATATAAATCCACTTATAATATTGTTATCATTTAATTATCCCTACATAATTTAACATTTTGCTTACATTTTGTTATTTCTGTTATCACAATTAAGAATCACTTTTCGGTGATTTTAATCTCAGCAATGTGCATATATGAGGATAACCCTAATCGCTATTTATAAGAGATAAGTAGAAATATTCCTTTGCAAAGCATGAAATAAAACTCTATATCTTGTAAATTTCAAGGTATGAAGAAGAATATAAATGGATTTATAACACATTTTAAAGAATTTATACAATTTATAAAATCTTATGACAAAATTATAAATGACCATTGAGAGCACCTGGGTGATGTCCATGCTTTGAATGAGGTTTCAGAAATGATAACAAAGCATGGACATTCACATTTGCATGATTCATGCAACCCATGGACCATAGGCTGGAGTTAGTGTGCCACTTCTCCGGTATACTACTGAGACAATCACACATGGCATAGTCCTGATCCTGTGATTATTTGTGGCTCTTCTGGGCTTGAATACAGCAATGTATTAGAAAAGAGAAGGCTGTGGGTCAGTGTCTTGGGTGAACTATTTAGTTTTGCCCTCTCTGGACCACAGACTGCATGCCCAGCTCCAATTACCTGAATCGGTATGCCCAGTTCTTGTGTTAAAGGAAGACTGGGGTAAGACAAGAACTGAAACTGGGTTCACCTCTTATAATTGTTTTCACAAAGCTGACTCACATGCACATGCCACAGTGGCAGCACGGTTTAGGTGTATGCCAAGGTGGTGTTGTTATGGGTACTATACTTAAGAATACTTAAATAAAAAGAGCCACTCTTTATCAAGCACATATATGCTAGGAACGGTGCTCAGTACTTTACATACATTATCTCATATTTACAATAAACTTTGTAAGGCATTTTTTTCTCTGTTAAGGAGAGGATGTGACTGAGGCTTGGTGGAGGTAATTAGACCACCTTTACACAGCTGGTATGGATATACTGGGGTTCAAGCCAATCCCAGGTCTGTCTGACTCCAAATTCCTCATTTTTCTTCCTAGTTCAAGAGGTATGTAACATGGACTTAAAAACTAGTGAAAAAAGATTCAGGATTTTACCACCACCCTGGCTGAAAAATCTGTAGATTCACTTATTCGCTCAGTAAACATTGGTTGAGTAGTTGCTCTGTGATGATTCATAGTTTGTAAGAGGAAAAGTAGTATTTTTTTTTTAACGAATGGTTTAGAATCTCAGATTGACTCTAAGATAAACTGATAAGCCTCCTTCCTAGCTTCTGTGGTCTGACCACGGCAAACCACCCAACCCTTGCATCTTCAATGTAAAACGATTAGATGTGACTATTCCCATGTTTGTTTCTAAAAAGGGAACCCCTTCATGCTTCTGTTCCAATTCTCAAACAGTATCTACTGTTCTTCTGTAGCAGATATACCAGTAACAAGCTATTTGTTAATTAACAAGCATTCCATGGAAATGTGGGCTAAAAAATGACTTCATTACATGAGCATAATATATTTCATACATCTAAACTTATCCCCAAGTTTTTTTTCACATGTAAAATGTGCTCACTGGAGTGCTATGTTGACATCTGAATGCTGCTTAATGCTTGCTTTATTATACATAAGTGAACAGCTACTGTATTCGTTTGCTAGGGCTGCCGTAATAAAGTACCACAAGCCAATAGCTTAAAAAACAGAAATTTGTCTCACAGTTCTGGAGGCTAGAACTGTGAAAAAGTCAAGATGTCAGCAGGGTTGACTCCTTTGGTAGACTAAGAGGGAGACCGTTCTGTGAATCTCTCCTGGCTTTTAGTGGCTTGCCAGCAATCTTTGGAGTTCCTTGGTTTACGGCATCATAACTCCAGTCTTTATGTGGCATTCTCCCTTTGTCCCTGTGTCCAAATTGTCCCCTTTTATAATGACACCAGATATATTGAATTAAGGCCCAACCAAATAATCTCATCTTAACTTGATCTTCTTCAAGGACCCTGCTTCCAATAAAGGCCCTATTGTAAGGTATAGGGAGGTAGTTAGGGCTTCGATATCTTTTGGGGAGACACAATTCAACCCCCAACAGTGATCCTATATAAAGCTTGATTCCTTTAGATGTTTCATAAATTTTAGGCTCAGATGTCTCCTTGTTGCACTAACTCCAAGTGAAGGACCATGTAGCAACATAGTCACTGGAAACCCACAGAAAAAAAAAGACAAGACACAGCTTCACGTTGAGAGAGAGCAGACATTCAGCAAAGCACTGGTCTCATGCAGCAAGGGCCTATGCACTCTGTTTCCATTTCATAGAAGTCCATGCCAATTGAAACGCCAGCTATCCATACTATGCCCATGCTAAAGACAGATACACTTTTCCATTTAATCAGGGACAATTCCATTTAATCAGGGACAATGAACCCTGCTGTGTCATGTAGGATGGCAGCCTCAATGAGATACATCTTGATTTAATGGAGAAATAAAAGTGATATAAGATCATAAGCTAAGACCATCATAAAGTGCATGCAAGCACCCTATACTTTAATACTCCCAAGCTGCTTTTTAACTCTGAGTGAAACAATTTGTCTAATGTCTACAGAAATGGTTCAACTAATTTCCTCCTTTAAGTAATATCAACCTGTCTACTATAATACACCTTACTGGAAGCTGCCTTCTTTTCTCCGGTTCTTTTTTTAAATGCTGCAACTCTACAAAGATATAGGAATGGATGCAGTGCTTATTTCTGAATGGCAGAAACTATCCCACAGAAATAAAGCAAATCCACACTTGATTACTGTCTTTAGAGACACTTTGCAAGAACCAGAGTCTGAAAATAGTCAAGTAGATGATAACAAACTGCCTTGGGCAGGAGAAAGCAGCCACAGCTTTTCCCTATGCCTCCATTAATAATTTCTTCATGCAATCACACATAATTTTTGAACACCTATTTGGTCACATGTTCACTGTTTTAGGTTTAAATAGGGTAGTGGGGTACAGATCTCATTGAAAATGTATCATTTGAGAAAAGACTTAAATTACAAAAGGCGTTGATCATGAAAGGTATATAAAGAATATTTCAAGTAGAGGAAACAGCCAATACAAAGACACTAAAACAGGGGTAAGTCTGGTGAGCTCAAGGAATAGCAAAGAGATCAGGGTGGCTGAGGCAGAGACAATGAGAGGAGAGGAGTTGGAGGTGAGGTCAGGGAGGAGGTAGGGGCCAGTTCACACAAGGCTTTCTTGGATACTACAAAAGCTTTGATTTTACTGAAGGACATGGAGAACCATACCAGCATTTTAAACAGAGAGAATGAACAGACTTTTGTTTTGAAATCTCTTTACCTTAAAAGTCAAAAGTGAATGGCCAAGAATTGATAGCTTAAGCCAGTTCAGCACATGGAAATGGCCGTTCACAATCCCACCTCAAATCTTCAACTGCTAATGAGTTTGGCACCATTATAATTTTTTTTCTTAAAGAAAGGAACACCAGGTGTAGTGGCTCACACCTGTAATACCAGCATTTTGGGAGACCGAGGCAGGTGGATCACCTGAAGCCCAGAGTTTGAGATCAGCCTGAGGCCCAGAGCTTAAGATCAGCCTGGCCAACATGGTGAAACCCCGGCTCTACTAAAAACACAAAAATTAGCCAGACCTGGTGGCACACATCTGTAATTCCAGCTACCCTGGTGGCTGAGACACGAGAATTGCTTGAACCCTGGAGGCAGAGCTGGCAGTAAACCAAGATGGCACCACTGTACTCCAGCCTGGGCATCAGAGCAAGAACTCTGTCTCAAAAAAAGAAAAGGAAAAAAGGAAACAGAGATTTATGCATATTGTATAACCTTTATTTTAGGATAGGTTCTTTCCTAAAGTTATATGTGCTTAGATTCTATTTCCTACTCATTAAAATTAAGGGTTGATTCTGAAAGTTATCTATAAAATAGATATACACAGTATTAATATCTATAGAAGCCAGCCTCCACGGTGGTCTAGGATGACTTTTGCCCCTGATATTTATATCTTCACAGTGAATAAACAGTGAATGATGGCTGGCCAGTATGACCAATACAATACGGCAGAAATGATGGTGTGTGATTTTCAAGGCTAGGTCATAAAAGGCATTGCAGCTTTTATCTTGTTCTCTTGAATCACTTGCTCTAGGAAAAACAGCCCTTGTGCCGTAAGGAGAGGCCCACGTGGAGGGGAACACACTTGCCTGCCATATAAGCAAGTCACCTTGGAAGTGGGTCCTCCAGCCACACACAGGCTTGCGTTTGACCGGAGCTCCAGCCAACAGCTAGTGACATGCAATCCCATGAGTGACCACCAGCCAGAATTGCCCAACCAAGCTGCTTCTACATTTCTAATGGGCAGAAATCACAGAAATAAAGTCCTCATTATTATTTTAGCCATGAAAGTTTTTGTTAATCACAGATAACTGTTATATTTCAAATAATCTGCACAAGGATTATCAGTTAGCTGTTCTTCGAAACATTTACTTTTGTCAAATATGCTTTTGAATTTTTGAACTCAACTAAAAATTCGGTAATTAATAAGATCACAGTCAGATAAAACTACATCGGAAAGTTGCAAAAAAAAAAAAAAAAAAAAAAAAAAAAAAGGACCTTTCAGTTGACTGATATCAAATCAAAAAAGTACTGATTTGAAGTGATATAGAATGTTGGAGAAAGCATGGACTTTGAAGTCAGAAAAAAATGGTTATGAATAATGCTGTGCTTAATAGTTTGAGCAAATTACTTAAACAATCAAGCCTCAGTTTTTCAGTCTGCAAAACTTGGAAAATAATACTTAGCTTACGCTGTTGAAAAAAGTGTGAGATAATGTGTAAAAAATAATTTTATTCAATAAACATTAATTTCCCTTTTATTAAAATGAATCTGGGCCATGTTTATTTTGTAAAGATAAATACTCTAAAAATAATAATTTAATGTATTATGTAAGCTTTATTTGGTTGTCTCATGGCTAATATTAATACTAATATTAGATTTGAAATATTAATATTGATACTAAAAGTATTAATATTAAACAGTATTAAACAGTATAATACTAAATAGTAATATTAAACAGTATATTAAACAGTAATATTAATATTAGTATTAATACTAATATTAGGCCTAATATTGAGGTAACCAAACTCAAGAGTATAATCAGCAATTCATTTGTTATTGGCTACTGAAATGGCATTTACATTTTGGAAAGAGGAAATAACTAAACACTTTGCCCAATCAGATTAGCCATAATATTTGTGTGACTTCTAAGGCTAGGTCAGATATGAGACTTATTTTTAGTCTGTTGTTTTTCATCATAAATGTAATTTCAATGACCATATGACATATGGTTACTGACATGGATGGACCAAAAAACTTAAAAAAATAGAAGTCCTCATTAATTCAATAGCACAATTAACTGAGTTTGTGACCTCTAATTTGGAAATATGGTTTGATTCACAATAAATATTCATAATGATCTTAATCATAATCTCATGAATAAATAATGTATTGTCTTATAGGGCTAAAAGGAAGGAGTTATACAGCAATCTTGATCCCAATATCTATGATATTTACCAATGCATAGATTGTGTGAAACACAATCTATATGCCAGGTACTGACATAAGCACTGGGAGTTTAAAAACCCAAAATGAACCTGCCCCTGCTCCCAAATAACTTAATATCTAGTGTTCTCTCTTTGGTTACTTCTGCAATGTAAAACTGACAGACAATGAAGCATATTTTCCCCAGTTCTTTTATTTATGCTACCCGTTTTCACAAGTTTTAGAGAGGACTTTAAAAGAAAGCAGAATGGATTACTGCCTGATACGGTTTGGCTGTGTCCCCACCCAGAACTCACCTAGAATTATAATAATCCCCAAGGGTGGGGCCAGGTGGAGATAATTGAATCATGGGGATGATTTTCCCCATACTGTTCTGATAGAGAATAAATCCCACAAGATCTGACGGTTTAATAAATGGGAGTGACCCTGCACAAGCTCTCTTGCCTACCATCATGTAAGATGTGCCCTTGCTTCTCCTTTGCCTTCCACCATGATTGTGAGGCCTCCCCAGCCATGTGGTACTGTCAGTCCATTAAACCTCTTTTCTTTATAAATTACCCAGTCTCCTGTATGTCTTTATTAGCAGCATGAAAACTAACTAATACACTGACCAAATTTACAGTGAAATAAACAGTACCCAACCCAAAGTTTCCCTCAAATATGATAAGCCATGGGCATATAATCTAATTATTTGAAAGAAAACAGATTGTGCTGGTTAAGAAATTAATCTGTATAACTATATCAACCAATTAATTTATTCTGAAAATATTTATTCTCATGAATGATGCTGCCTGACACTTTATAGTGCCTGTGAAATGAGAATAATATTATTTTGGTATCTAGCTGCCATGATAAATGGTACATCACCTTGAAATCACTGAGCTAAAAATAGTAAAAGGGACTTTGGACTTTTGGCTACCAAGCACACTTGGTACACCACACATGTTTTAGTGGTTTCCCCACCAGTCCTATTGTTTTGTTTTTGACAATCAATCAACTGCATTTAGTTAGTAACAATGATTCTACTCTTATTAATAAAAAGCTATTTATTGCCAGTCAGATTTTGTGATTTGCATAAGATAACTCAGTGTTGTCAAAAGGGGGAAGTGAGTTTATATCAGCCAAACCAAGACCAAAACCAAAGAGATGTCTTAGTTAGCTTGTGTATACTGTGATTTTATGTCTTATTTTCATTAGACTTTTAAAAATACTGAAAATGAGTCATTCCCCCATTACTTCCTCCAAAGATTCTAAATGAGAAAAACTATTCGGATCCAATCACCTCCTTTTAAAGATGATCATGACCAGTTAGATGATTAGTTTAAGGACACAGCTAAATAGTGGCATAAGCTGGACAGGAAATTAAGTATTAAAACAGAGATCGGTGCCTTTTCTCCACTGTGCTGAAATGATTGGTTTGTTCATGAGAACCACCAGCTCAGTCAGCCAAATATAAAGTTTCAATCACAATTGTCGCTTGGCATACACAGATAAGCTCTCTACAAGAACAGGGAACTCTTAGGACATGTAGGATAATGTTAAACAGATAGGAAAACTAATAGGAGGACTTGTTATGTAATGTTCTCCTCAAAGTGTCAGCGTCAACCATAGAGGTGGTTCTG